CGTTCTGCTATTACAGCTCCAATTTCAGTGAAGTATTTATTTCTTACATGTTAAATGTCAAGAAAGCATCAACTGTGCAACCAACAACCAACCAACTGTCTCTGTGTGTTAACAGATACATTTTTCAGCTTTCACGTCCTCAGAATAGTTTTTCCAATACAATTTGATGTAGTTACCACAAATACAGTATTAGGGAATTGCTAGCCTAGTGGTCGATAAATTTCGTACTAAAACCAAGTCTTGGTTTTATGAGAATATTTTATTTCACAAATAAATTAGTAACCGATAAGAGAGGTAAAAGGATCGTGAGTTTGTGCATTATTTTTAACAGCAGTTTGTAAAATTAGTATCACTTTCAACATAGAGGAAAATAATTAATTTGTTTTTATTTATTTGGTATGTTATTTCAGTATACTATTTTGTATGCTGTTTCAGGATACTACTTTCCTTACATACTCTCTTTCATTTCATAACTAACCCACCATAAACTATTTTAAACACAGTTAGTAATACAATATATTTAATCGTAACAAGGTGTTTTGAATACATCTGAAAAGGTTTATTTTAACCCCACAAAACCATCTTGTTAAAATTAAAATCACATCAGTAATGGTCTGAGGTAAGAAAAATAAAGAGCTGAGTTTCACCAGGAAAGACTAACAATGACATTATCCTCTGACGACCCTCAGAAATCATCCCCTAAAACAACGATGTTATTTTCAAGAGAAATAAGGCTTTCTCACCAGCCCCGTGACACCAGGGCTAATAATTCCTTACTAAAGAGACATTATCCTTGGTAAACAGATGTTTTAAGCTTTACTTGCCCCAAGGCGTTTCATCATATTTTAAACAAATGGGGAATGTTCAATGTTTTAATGTAGAGGGTTTATAATTTACTGAGTTACCCAGTTTCAAGAACCTTTTGTAATTATTTTTTCCTTTTGTGTGAGTTGCTTTTAGTTCTTTTTTATCATATGTTTATTATCAGTGGTAAACTTGATTTATTATAATTGATTGTTCCAGCAATATGGATTTAATTTCCAAGTAGAGATACATTCCAAGGACCCGATATTGTAGGAGAGGCCAAAAGCAGAAGGCTAAGGTGGGTTGGCCACATCTTGAGGAGAAATTAGGAGACCTTGTTGAAGAAGGTACTCAGGGGAGATCCGAGGGGAAGGAGACCAGTAGGAAGACCAAAGGCCAGGTATTGGGATCAAGTCCGGAAGGATATGGAAAATATGAGACTGGTAGAGGAAGATTCGGAGGACCGAAGGAGCTGGCGACAATGTGTTGGCGAGGCCAAGTACCAGCTTGGGTACAAGTGGCCATGGCACTAAGTCAGAATTGTTTCAGCAATGAGTTTTTTGACAGGTACATAACAATCAAAACTACATGCTATGTATATTTTTGAAAGGACTTCTACTCTAAAGACCCTGGGTTCAAATCTCTCCAATCACCAGTGGCAAAATACTAAGTGAGGGCCCAATAGTTCGGAGTCCCACTGAAACTGAAGGTAGGCCGTTGAAGTAGAAATAAGATAACCCAACACCTCTGTGATGGACAACTCAATCCAGAAAATGTCATACAAAAATCCATATTGGTCTTCAAACCAATATGAAAATTAATTATCTTACTGTTTTTCATCAACATTGATAGAGTCGTGATAGACGAGTCTGTAAATCAATGGTCGCTGAGCGGTAAGATGTTCCCGGAAGTTATGTCTCACTGATAATATGAGTCCCATAAATCCACTGATAAACTACAGAACACTTCATCAAAATATGATCCAGCAGAGGTCAACTGCTATAGCATCAGACCAGCGACAAGTTGCCTAAAAGTGAATCCTAATTTTGTGTGTTTTAACGTGGTTGACATTTCTTTATTTTTTTTTGTAAGGTGTGCAAATTCAGGTCTTTTTACCACGTGTTTACCTTTCGATGGATAAAATAAGTACTTGAGAGCCATAAATGAAATCGTGGCCCAGAATGGTAGTTTGGGATTGAACTAGCAACCTTCAGATTTGGAAGTGAAACATTCAAAAGTAAGCTTCATGCACAAGAAGACAACCGGTTTACTTTGGAATAAAATGTTAGTTCAAACTAAATATTTTGTTTCTCTCGAAGTTGAAAGGGCTCGCTTTTGTTGGCTTTGATGGCTTTTGATGGATTTTGATGGCTTTAAACGGCTTTTGACAGCATTTGATAGCTTTTGATAGGCGTGTCTGTATTTGCCTATGATCTAGAAGATCTTGAACTCTAATTGCACAGTAATCTGAATTGCCTATCTGAATTTTTACTAACAAACAATTAATTAGTTTAAAAAAATTGCCTAATTTTAGCACCATCTATAACAATTCATTTTATACAACAACATTCAAAATCGAATAAAACACTACATCCAAATTTCGAATACTTTCACCGACAAGACAAATTACCCACATAACAGTTAGTTTTAATCCCCTCATAAATAGCAATCAAGAAATTATCAAGCGACAATCAAACAAACATAAGCCAAGATATATAACAATAAGCTGTACGTCGGTTCCGAACGTATCAGAATCATTAGAACTGGACGTTTTGACAGCAGCACGTTCAAGCGTCCAAAACACAGTAAATCACGAGAGTAATAACAAGGGATTATTGGCGGACCACCTCGTAGCCAGCGTGGGTACAAGGCGGCGAGGCCAAAGTGAATGTTATATCTTATATCATACAATATCAGTGAGAGATAATTTGTTGAAAATTTGGTTCTTTAAAACCCTTTCTTTGTGAAAACACAATAAAAACGTTATACATATACTAAAAGGTGTCCTGAAGTTCATTGGTTTTTAGAGCAGCCTCTAAAGATTATGTATCGAATATGTGAATCGATCGTTATGTTGTAACATGAATTATTTCGAAAAAAAGGCCAGAAATCAATCAATTTCGCTGGTAATACGGCCAGCGGTTACTAAGTGTAATGATAAAACCACCGAAATAATTGTTTTCCACGTCATAGCATAGTAGACCGTCTACTCATTTTATCTATGGACATAGATTTAACAGTTTTTGACAGTTATCAAAGTTTTCAACAGTTTTTTAGTTGTACACCATAAATAGAAAAAACAATGTCATACTATAGTTTGTATTATTTTCTTCCATTTTATTTTTTATTACTTTCACTTTGTTTTTCTACCACTGCACTTTGTCCTTTTTTTAAATTCTTTTTAAATATAAGTAAGGTTTGGTTACATTTTTAACAAAGTTAATTAAGGTATGTGATCTCATATGCATTTGGGTCCTTAAAATTTTGGTCCTTCGAACCGGATAACTTTATCACGTATTGGAAGTAGAAAACAAACAGAAATGCAGAACATGCTCAATAGCTCACCAAAAACCCACGTTTGGTAGCATATACGAATATATTCAACTTATACTTACAAAAACCCCTAACTTCCTAAGGGTGGTTAAATTATGGTGTGGATACGATAATTATCGTACATCCGGCTAGGACCACTGTGCCCACGTCGGTGTTGGTGACGACTTACTCCTCGTGGGAGGCCCCTGGCTCCGTCTGGACCAGATAATGGACCATGTTTATGGGGCGAGCAGGGTTTGCACTTAGCCGAGATAGCTGGAGCTGCTGCCTGCTGTCTGCGCAGTGTGCCTGTTTATGCTGGGTGGTTATCACTTGTTGGCTCAGCTGTAGGCAGATTCGCAGGTGGCGTCTTGGAGTCAGCTGACTTGAGTAAAGTGGAAGTCTGCTTGGTTTCGTATTCTGTGAAAATTGGTTACTGATTGGCAAGTTTGTATGTTTCCATCCCTAGGAACTGGAGATACTTGGAACTGGAGATGTGTTGAACTGGGGACGTGAAAACACGAACACAATGCTACGTATGAAAATATTTGTGTATAATGGAGTGAAATGTTACAAGGGACTAGGATTTAGCTGGATACAGTTTTGAACCATGAGACTTTGTCAGAGTTCAACCGGCTACCCCAAGTTCACTAGGTACTTAATCCAGAAATATTCTAAGACGATATAAAAATTTTGTTTTGGATTGAAGTCGTTCAAATATTTTATTTTTCGAACCACGAAACTAGCATTAAAGTACACAAACATGCGAATAAACATACAAATTCTACGTATAAAAATGATGATAGTAGTTATTGGAAATCTATTGGTAAAGCCCCACCAATCTCTTTAACTGTATCTTTTCCCAAGTGCAGGAAAGATAAAATATTGCATAACAAGGACTATTTTCTGCGAAAACCACATCACTGACTTCTCTCAGATTAATCCACTAACCACGTGGTTGGTTTACAATCAAGAGCTATATATAGGAGTTTCTCAGTTTCAACAACTCGGCCACAAACGAGTGCCGAAGCGTGGCTCAGCGAGGTTGTTGATCTCTGCCCGACAGCTGTATTCTGTTGTCTCCCAACAACAAACCCAGCTGTTGCCGCTGCAACTTGCCAGACTGACATTTGCAAATAACATTGTTTCCACCCCGAGTTTACAAGCGGGTACAGGGTCGCTCTTTAGTTCCAATAGTTCCTCCAAATGTTAAGTAAACAGCTGCTATCCTGCTGCACTTATTTAAATCATTGTGATTCATCGCCAACACGTTCTCTTACTACAATCGGTTTACAATTATTTACATTTAAATGTCATAATATTAAATAATAATAATACAGTAACTGTTTTATGTGATTGTAAGAAAATACACTTCATGGTTGAATAGTTCAAGATATTTTAACCCTTGTTTTAACCAGGATAGTGTCATCTAGAAAATATATTAGCGTATAATAGCAATTTTACCAAAATGATTGAAGGCATAAGACCTCTTAAAGCACGCACTTCAGACATTTGGTCCTTCGAGTCGGATGACTGTGAACACGATTTGAAGCATTGTTTGTTCCGATTGTGGCTCAAGATAACCCACCATCTGTCCCTTGACTCATCAAAAAATATTTTTATTAAAAGTATGGATACAAATTAAAACTTTTTTATTGTTTCAGGCCAATACCGATCGCCGCGTATCACTGAGCACCCCTCCGACGTTGTGGTGCCTCGGAACGAACCCGTCACCCTCAACTGTAAGGCCGAGGGCAGACCTGAGCCAAGGGTCACGTGGTACAAGGATGGTGCACCCGTGGACGAGGCTAAGAGCCACCGGGTCATCTTGCCTGCAGGATCGCTGTTCTTCCTGAGAGTCCAGCACGGCAAGAAGGACTCTGACAGCGGGGTGTACTGGTGTGTGGCGACCAACGTGGCCGGGACTGTGGCCAGCAGGAACGCTACTCTACAAGTTGCAGGTAGGCTGTCTGATGTGGCGTATTATAGACCTATTTCAGTTTTATGTTGTTTTTGAAAAACTTGTTATCCGATAATATTAATTAGTTCTGCATATTGTAGCCGACAAGTTGCAGTTTGCAGCGCAGTTTTCATTCAGTTTTTCTTTTTTTTTCAATTGGAATCTTTGTACAAAATAAATATAGATTCCGCTATAATTTTTTTGGCAATTTGGGATGTTAAACCTAACCTTAAACAATTTATATAAGTTTGACACATTGTAGTTTGATTATTAATACGTAATAGATAATTTAATACTGATCCATTCTTGAAAATTGTCCAAGGAGTGCATTAAAATACATTGACAAGCCATAAGCAACTGATTCACAAACTATGTGAGGATACTTGTGTAAAACAATTTGATAGCGAATAATTTCAAAAGTACAAAAAGAATTGTATACTGTGCCTAATATTCAACAAAAAGTAAAGTATTTGAAGCATTTCATATTGTTTACCTAACGCAATATTGTTTTTGTTTGGAATAATACAGCTTGATACCGTGTACGTATTAATAATTGGCAAATATCAGAAAATACGTCAGAAGCCTATTGTAGTCTATCAAGTGATAAATGAAGATAGCAAAAGGATATTAATTATGTCTGCGTAACATCTGGAGTTCGAGTCGTTGATTGGCTAATGCGGTTCGGACAGCTGCAAAAGAAGAGTTAATTTAATTCAGCGGTTCAAATAACCCTAATTTACGGTTTCCAACTGTTAATAGTTTTATGATGTTGAACAGATGGAAGTGGATTCGGGTAGCCATCTTGAGATAAATTATATAAACTGGAGTGTCTTGTGAAGAACGTAAATAATGTTTTAAATTATTCTAACATTACAGATGTTTTCGACACGTATACTATTTTAGGTGGTTTATTATAATCTGTCAGGATATCAATATAATAAACCAATCTATCAAAGCGTCATTTATCTAGTTACATTTCTCATTATTTATCCTACGTATGAATCACATGTTTAATTATTAAAGCTTTTCCATTAAATTTATCGATAAAATATTCAAACAGTAATCTTGCAGCGTGAAATAACCCATCGCATCGGTGAATACAGTGCTCATAGCAGTGTAAAATATTAAAGTAGAAGATTACCACTGGACTGAAAGCTATAATACAGTGTGATGGTTGTGTTGGATATTGATGCACAAATTACCTTTGCTGTTTTAGTGATGAAAACAAATAGATCTAAAAATTGTTATAAGTTATAATTGATTTATATTTGATAACACAAAAGTTCTAATTTACATTATGAAAACTTATAATAATATATTTTTTCGTGTGTCTAAAACACTCCATAAACTAGCAAATTTGGTATTAATCCAATTTGTTATTTTTATTTCCCCAATTTTGAAAATTCTCAATACTATCTGCGACCCACGAAGTGTTTTGTAAATTCATTCCACTTCTACAAATAATAAATTATTTTTACAATAATTTACAAATTACTTTATTATTTTAAACGCCCTTTTTAATATGTTTGTCCTAATTTAATAACCCATTACTATTAATTACCGTTTGATGACCTAGTATGTTATTAGGAACATTGCAGTGTTAGTTAGGTATCAAGCTTCTTATCGACATAATATTTCTTAAGGTTAATTCAGGAGGTCCACAAAAGCATTCAAACAGTATTGTAAGGGGAAATTACATTGAGCACTGTTAGTTTCTAGTTTGGATCAACTTATTTGGAATTCTTTTTGTATCGTTTTAATTTGTACATAATTTTGTTTTTTAACTCGGTTAACTTGTTTTCAGACTTTTACACCAATCATAGCCATTTTGACTTATAGCAATCATACTAAATTTTGCTACTAATGGGCTAAGTTGACATTAAATTAACTAGTTTTTTGACTCGTGTATTGTCTATATTTCCACACTCCCCCCCCAACCCACACCCCTAAAACCCACCCTATATCCATTAGTTTATTGATTCACATCACTTGTCTATTCAATCAATCATGACGTCACCATTGTCACATGACGTCCATTGTAAGACGTATGTTACGTCAAAACGTCGCCATGTCATTTTAAGCGACAAAAACCTCATCAGGCTACTTTGTTGGTTGTTGCTACTCTTTTTGTATATCTTTTGTATCCACTGAATTAATCACTCCGTTGTGTGGGGATTGGGCCTTTGTGTTTGTAATGATTGTGTTTTGTGATTTAATTAGGTTGACACACAATTGAATGTTTCCTGCATGATAACAGCTCATTAATATTGAAAGGGAGTGTTGGTTTTCAGTGTTATGTCATCGTGGTCCAAGTAGTAGCACTGTAAAGCAAAAAAATATCAGAGATTATTCTGTAGTACAGCAATTACAAGAGTCACTCAATTAATCACCTTATTTCTGAAGACCTATTTTATAACACCATTATGTGTATATTGACTGTCTACAGTATGCTCCAGTCTAACGTTTATTTTTTTTCGAATGGCATTTTTACGTTTTTAAAGGGAACATTCAAAACCTTAGTTTTGTTACTATCTAACGTCGAATCCTTTCCCAGCTTAGTTTTGAAACGTATCCCGTCTTTTTTCTATCACAATTTGTCTAAAACACATTGCAGTATCACAACATCGTTGAACACACGCTCATTCCCCGTTTAGAGCTGAAATCGCGTATCAAATCGTCAAGGCGCGCCCGACGCTCCTAACAAACACCTTGAAGAAACCCCCTATTATAAAACACCGATCTTCATTGTGGCCGCACAATGAAGAATCTCTATAATGACCACAATACCATTGTGAGAGTTGTCGCGATTTTCTGCTATTGTGCCTTCACGGCTGGTTTCCTGTCTGGCCATTGTGAACATGGCGGACAACTGAATCGATTAGCTAATGTCAATAACACTTTCGTTAAACCAACACTTGTGCAACATGTCGATAAGGAAACAGTGCTTAATTTAGCTTGTGCTTTTTGGTTTGGATGAACTAGTTGATATGCCCGTGTTTCGCAACGGGACAAGAATAATTATGAGTACAGTATAATTTGGGTCTCTAAATATACTGTAGAAAAAAAAAACTATTACCATTGACACACACTTACCATTGATTATAAAGGTAAATCTGGATCGTACTTTTTGCTTATTTGATCGAAAAATTTGTTGGTATTTTCATTAATATGTGTGGTAAAATCAAAACTACTTACTTTATAGCAATGTAAACATCTCGAATGAGAATCCAAAGATTAATTCAGGGATAAAGTAAAAAAAACCTTAAATGAAAACAAATGTAACTGCTAGTATCTTCAACATTTTAAAGTGATTAAATACAATCATTAGGCTAATTAAGTTGTGTGCCCTAGGGAAAGGATTTATCGAAAAACCAAGTATTTTTTGTATAATAGGTTAATAAGTGTGCGGCTTAAGGTTTTCTCAAAAGATCGGGAACCATTTTAGCTAGCATGGATTAATTTTATACTATTCTCACTCGTAATAAGAGATAAGATTGGACCATTAGATTTAGAAATAATGAATCCCTGTTATCAATAAAGCACGGACTACGTACAGTCGGATACAGAATGGGAAGTGGCGGGGATAACGACCACCGGGTTTTGCTAATTGGGTGATTTGTTTTAATTTAGATACCGGTATGTCACCCTTTACTGTAACCCAGAGTGCTTTAAATCATTAACAATGTTTGTGCCATACAGGCATTCTTACCAATAACAATTGCACACACAAATAATTGTATTTTGCCTCTTGAAATAATAAAGCATAATTATGGGAAAATGTTATGTGTTGAATGTTATGTAGCTGAATATACATTCATTTAAAATCGTACAAATAAACTTCAAAACGAATAAATAAGTTTTTCTAAGATAGAAATGACGAACCAAAGTCATCATCTCTCTCTTCCCATTGTTTAGTTTTGGAACTCGTCCCGTCTCCCTTTATATCAAACTTTTCTAACTTCCTCAAAAGCACGTGAATTCGTCAAGTTCATCGTAATATTATCATTATCCTCAAGAATTCCTGTATTGTATCTCGATGGTTTATAGTTTTAAACTTTAATAATTTAACAAACTCCTCTCAGTATGTTCTTATATTAATTAAAAACTTACTAATTCCACTGGATAAGTTTTTTCAAAGTTTTAAAAAACCTCGTTGCTAAATGTTCTCAAAATAAAATTGGTACGTTGATAGATAAATCATATGGAATTTAAATGAACTTTTTATTTGAAACAATTTTTGAGTGAGGACAAATTAATTGAGTAGATTTTTATTCATAGATACAACTTTTTATACTACACTAGTGTCCCTGTTGCTCGAAATCGAGCAATTGCTAAGTATTACAGGCGTTATTTTAAAACGAATAACAGTCTTATTTTTTATGACTATAAAAGATTCGACTCAAAGATTATGGAATACTCAAGATGTACATAACAGATCGATATAATCAACATTTCTTGTAAATATCTTATCATTTTTCAAAAGCTGATTTTTTTTAGTGTTTATAACACACATTATTTCTATTTCTTCCCCTTGGTGGTGTTCTATGACTTTCCTATGTTTCCATAGTTTGCAAATCGTCTCTTTCAATGATTACTAAGAAATGGATCACAGTGTTAATTCCGTTTTGTTTTTAGTATATCAATTTAGCCAGGCTCTCTCGTTTTTTCCCATTGTAATAATCACGCCAACCCAAATTCAAATAGTAGCCTAACTAATATCATTTCAACCAAGTGAGTAAATGTTTGTAGCAAACTAACTGTTAAATTAGCAAACTTATTGACTGTTTACAATTAACATATGTTCTTCTTCTCACTTTTAATTTCTGACAACAGCTGGAGTTTCATAGCAATATTTGTTTCCCATGTTAATCTTATAGAGAAATACGGAAATTTAAAGGGCTCCAGGGCCTCACCCTCTAATTATTTCCCTAAAAAGAAAGTTTCCTGCACAACTTCACGTTACGCTCTTTCCAATGACACCAAGAACATGTAAATCGGTTC